TAGCCAAGCTTGGACAACACTGCTTTATAAGAATGCCCATCGCTTCGGGTGCACAGAGAAGATGCCATTCAGGTATACAAATGAAAACTAGCTTCCAAAAACAAACTTTCCGGCCCCTACCCGTAGTCCTCATTTAACGACCACAATAGGGACTGAAAAATTCATTGTTAAGCAGGGCAGTTGCTAAGCGAGTCATGCCTGATTTTATGACCTTTTTTGTACTGGTCATTAAGCAAATAACCATGGCCGTTAAGTGAATCATGTAGTTGTTAAGCAAATCATGTGGTTCCCCATTGATTTTGCTTGCCAGAAGCTGGCTGGGAAGGCCGCAAATGATGATCACATGACCTTGGGATGCTGCAACTGTCATAAGTGCAAGCTGGTTGCCAAGCACCAGGATCATGATCATGTGACCGCGGGGGTGCTGTGACAGTTGTAAGCGCAAGGAGCAGTTGTAAGTCCCTTTGTTCAGCACTGCTGTAACTTTGAACAGTCACTAAATGAATGGTTGTTAAGTGAGGACTACCTGTACTCTAACCTAGTGGAGATACCCTGAGAGATTCTAGGGAATGGCTATCCTAAATCTCTTCCTCTTCCCCCTTCCTGCTGTGGACCGTGCTGCCTCCTGTCTTGCCCCCTTCCTGGAATGTGCTCCCTCCTTCCTGAGAACCTGCTGCGCTATTGCAGTCCCTCACATCCAGGTCATTGATGAAAAGGAGAGAAAGGTTGAAAAGCTTGTTCTAGAATGTTAAGGACACTCCCACAAATACAGGGTTTCTCAACCTTGGCAACTTGAAGATGTGTGGACTTCACTTGCTAGAATTCTCCAGCCAGCCATGCTGGCTGGCTAATTCTGGGAGTTGAAGTCTACACATCTTGAAGTTGACAAGGTTGAGAAACATTGCACTAATAAGAGCCAGAATACTGTTAGATTGGAACACACAGAATTCAGGGGCACCTGAGAACTGCAGTCAACAATCACACATCATTAAAAAAGTCAAGAAAAAAAATGTGGCACGTTGAGGGAGAAATAGCACATAAATGATGGGATCCAGGACATATTAAATAACTAGGAAGGTAGCCAAGCATTGGGAGAGTGATTTAAAAAAAAAAACTTAAATAGCTAGGGCCCTTGATTTCTTTCATTAGTTTGAAGCAACTATGATTCACCCAGCCTTAAATCTAGGCACTGTGAGCATATGGATTTGATATTGTTCTCTCTCAGTGATTTGGGGAATTGTGGCTACTCAAGTGTTGCCAAACTACAGCTCCCAGCACCCCACCACTATCCATGATAGCTGGGACAACTGGAACTAATCGTTCAGCAAAATGCAAATGATCACAAATGGTGGATTATAAGAAAATCCATCCTATATCTCATCTGGGTTAACCACTGACCCAACAGAGATAAGGTTACTGTCCGATTTTCAACTCCCTGATTTCATGCCTGCCTGCCTGTCTGTCTGTCTGTCTGTCTGTCTGTCTATCTATCTATCTATCTATCTATCTATCTATCTGTCTATCTGTCTATCTGTCTATCTGTCTATCTGTCTATCTGTCTATCTGTCTATCTG